GCTTTGCTTCATATTCTGATTATAAGTATTTATAGTGTGAGGCACAATTCATTGATTTATTTTTTGTATGGGAAATTTTCTTTGCAATATTTTATGTCTCCACTAGAGAGCGGTATTAACATTTCTTTTTAAGACACACAAGTGTAACTCATGATCATTCATTTTCCTATCCTTTTACTTAATGTAGACACCGGGGCAGTGGTGCTTTTAGTGTGAAAAGTAGGAGATCATGAATTAAATTTCACATTTTATCCTAAAATAACCACACTGGAAATAAATCAATAACTCCTATGTTTCAAGTTCTGCTATCTTTGCATTAAATGTGAAGTCCCTGGGTCAATGGCCATTGAGTCACAGTTTAGACAATAAGCCTTCCATAAAGTAGAATTTGGCTTGCTGACCATAAACCATGATATTCTCTAAAACATGAATTGTCTGAAATTCACAAACGAATTGGACATTTTAGGCCAAAAAAGTCAAACTTGTCAAATAAGTTGACCTGCACCTAATATAGGTGACAATGAATGATGGCTTACAATTTTAAGGGTTTTTATTTATTTAATGAATTCTACTTTCTAGGCAATATATTTTCATTTAGAATACCAGAATTGCCCTGACGATAGCAAGCAGAAGAATTTTATTTTTATTTATTTTATCCTCCAGGTCAGCTATTTTTTTAATTTCTTTTTTTTGCTTAATATTGCCATTCATATACCTCCCAACTTCCAGCCTCATAACACTCATAACATGCTCTGTGCACTTCATTATTCAGTACAGCACATGTTTACTGGGAATCCCGAACCTGGAACACTGGTGACAGATCTAGTACTACAGTATTGTGTTATATGTATTCAGATTTCTATTCGCTACTATTCAGAATCTGAACTCAACTTTATTTTATTGCAAATGCAATGACTAGATGTGATGTATTTTGTAACAAACTTTTCAAGAAAATGTTAGCCCATCATTAGTCCTTATGGAGTTCATTTATCATCTTATACAATTTTATGCTGCCGTGGGATGTCCTACACAAGCAGTGACAGCAGCATTCTATAGGAAATTCCATGTTGGCATATGCTCTGCACGGAATGCCATTGTATTTGCTTAAATAGCCAGCGAATGAAATTGAAAAGAGAAGGGTTACTGTAAGACATTTTATCAATGGATGTAAATATAATTAAACATTATAAATCAGAAATATCTTTTGATTGCGTCATTGGTGCTAATGTTTTTTTGTGTTGCTGCCAGCGAAGAGGTTAATAATGAACACTTACAAATTGGCCTAGCTATCTGAATCCCAAGGCAATTAATAAAGATCCTGACATCAATCTGTAATCCAGTCCACATACCCCTCCTCTAGGCCTTGCGTTTCTATCTGGAAATAGTAGACTCCCCTCTCTCATTAGGAAGGCCCCCATTAAGGCTGCGTGTGAACATGGCTGTGAGATGTCTTACACGCTCTGTCCCTGCCTAGGGGGTCACGTCTGGGTAAGACCCCCTGGGAGCAGCCAGGCTGCAGCCCTGAATATATTAGCACCTGAAATTTGCTATTGCTGGTCTTTCATTGTCACCAGACACATTCCATAAATATAATCCTTCGTTTTCCAATCACCATTCCCAAGCTTATTGCAATGTAAAGTGAAGAATGCGGTCACTTCATTCTCAGAATAACTAGCTGCTCAGGTCTGCTGTTTTATTTTATGATTTGTAAGCACAAATAATGAATAGCCCTGATAACTGCCAATTTGGGAATTGAGGAGAATTGACAAGGGCATTTTTAGGGGAAATAAAACTTGATTTTATTTGAATTATTATTTTTTTTAATGTAAGTGTGCTATTTTGATGAAACTTGCATTTTCCCTATAATTTCACCAGCATTTCCCTGGTTTAGTGCATAACCCTGTCTGGTTATTTTATCGCAATATTTTTGTGGAATAATCTCTGCTGCCTCTGGTTGACAAACATTCTAAACTAAAAATAAATGTAAATGGATGGTTACTAAAGAAAATAAAAGCATTTACACAAACTACAATTCACATTACAATTTAGCATCAATTCTACTACATATTTTTTGCACATCCAAATGTGCATATTTTGAGCAGCCAGCTTCTTTCTGTATCAGTGTGGTGTTACCATGTGGTGCGGGCAGGAAATTATGTAAATTAATGGTATTTCAAAAAGTGTTGTGTGACCAGCTGGCTGTCTGGCTCTGATCAATTAAAGAGATTGAACCCTTCAAATGTAAAAGAGAAATGAAATTGCAGATTCTTCGACTCAAAGCAGTTTTTGCTTATAAAAATAGAGATGCAAGGTAGATTTTGTAGCAGTATTTTAGGAAAGCGTTAAGGTTTCTGTAATTTCTTAACTATATGACTATCACAATATCATATTATAATAAAATCACAATATGCCCATCAAGCTCTGCTCTCCAAGGTGGGCTAATGTAAGAGAAGATAAAAGGTTGGGGAGCAGGTCTCTCAGAGCCTGTCTGCAGAAATAAAAATAAAAATGTATTCTACAAAATTGGTATTGCTAAAGCAGAAGAGGTAGTGATCTTTGTGAGGAGGAGCTTGACCATGGCTGCCCAGGTAAATGTTAAATAGTTTGAAAACTGGAGGGACATTCCATACCTCTAAAGCAATTTAGCATGCTTAAAAGCTTCCTGTAAAGAGTGTGTCCACTTTTTTCATTTTGCAAGAAGTGCAGATTGCAATAGAAATTGAAATTTAAAAAGACTGGTTACACCACTCGGCAGTCATGTTACTTCCTACATGGTTAGCTCAGTTGAGCTAAACTCAAGAGGCAGTAATTGCCCAAACTTCCTGCCTTGCAAAGACTTCTCAATGAGCTGCATTGGGAAGTCTGTGATTGGACAGCCACAGAAAGTCTGGGCAGGGTTAGAAGAGGAGGACTTGCAAAGGCAGCAAACGAAAGATCTGCAATTTTTGCAAGCCATTTTTATATACACACACACACACACACACACACACACAATGAAAAAAAAATACATAAATTAGAAACACGCACATTGTCATTTGGAGAATATCCAATATCTACTAAACAGTGAATTTTACCTATTTTGTATTTGGGCAGTGGAGTGTCCCTTTAACATTGAAATGACACCAAGGAACTCCTTATACTAGCATGATTTTTTTCACACCTTCAATTAAAAGGACCACTATAGTGCCAGGAAAACACTTGTTTTCCTGGCACTATAGTGCCGAGGGTGCTTCCACCCTTAGGGTCCCACTCCCGCCCGGCTCTGGAAGGGGGAAAGAGGTAAAAACTTACCTTTTTCCAGCACTGGGCGGAGAGCTCTCCTCCTCCGTTCCGCCCCGTCAACTGAATGCACACGCGCGGCAAGAGCTGCGCGCGCATTCAGCCGGTCGCATAGGAAAGAATTTACAATGCTTTCCTATGGACGCTTGCGTGCTCTCACTGTGAAAATCACAGCGAGAAGCACGCAAGCGCCTCTAGTGGCTGTCAATGAGACAGCCACTAGAGGCTTTGGGGGAAGGCTTAACCCATTCTCTGAAACTGCTATGTTAATAAATAAAAAAATAAAAAATGGGTTAACCCTAGAAGGACCTGGCACCCAGACCACTTCATTAGGCTGAAGTGGTCTGGGTGCCTAGAATGGTCCTTTAAGTCTTGGCCTAAAATCAAGAGAGATATTCTCATATCAAAGAATAAAAAAATATTTGGCTAATCATCTCCTCCATGACGATATTAGGATAAATAAAAAAAATAAAAAAATGATCTATTTAAAAATAATACAAAACGTAAACTGATATCTAGTTGGTATGAAATATTGAGGGAGGAAGAAATAGAGTCTAAACCAAAAGCATGGAAAAACTGAGAACAAGAAATCGGGTGCCCCATCGAGCTAGAGCAGTGATATAGATCAATTCAAGAAGTTAAAAGTCGTTGCACTGTTTCAATATTATAGAGCTTCACTACAAACTTCTTCATTAATGGCATAGGGTACCAAAAGTCCTAAATAAAATTAACCCTGATAATACCAAACTATGCAGGAAGTGTAATTGTGTACAAGGTAGCTCTAAACATAGGTGGGTATGTAAGCTTTTAAGATCTTTATGGAATAAGGCATTTAGAGTTATATCAGACTTAGTCAGAGAAGATTTGGAAGATAATTTCTTGGTTGCTCTTTCATTTTAATTAAAAAAAAATCTCAACTCAGAATAGAGGTCTAATAATTCAACTTATGATGGCCATAAAAATGTAAATCAAGATATTGGCTACAGCAAAAAAAAAAAAAAAAAATCCATCCTGGACTCAGCTTAAAATACCAATATGATTTGGAAAAGGGTATATCTTTTCAATATAATAACCATTTTTTTTTTAAATGGCTACCTTGGTTAGACAACCTGATATAACTCTAACCTAAACAATCTAGACCCGTTCTCTGTTATGATAATCCACATATAGAAATATCACTCTAATCCTCCCTATGATTTTGTAACCTAAATCTAGATCTGGAGTAATCTCAGAATAGGCCTGCGCAGTCTTTTAAAATGTGTTAGATGTGTGTGATGTATATTCAACAGTTCATATATTTCTCTTCTGGTAATCTATGTACATGACTAACCTTGAACTGTGTACTTGTCTGTAATGTTCTACATGTAAAAATTTGCAAAAAGATTACATTTTTTTGGGGGGGTGTTTCCAATCCAATGTTTTTCCCTCTCCTCCCTCCCCCCTCAGAAGTGATGATCTGAGCCAATCACAATGCTTTCCCATAGGGAAGATAGTCAAGGAGGCAGATCAGAAGCAGTGCCAGCACAACACAAACAGTCGTCAGTCAGCATCTCCTTATAGAGATGCATTGAATTAATGCATCTCTGAGGAAAGATCAGTGTCTCCATTGAGAATGGAAACACTGCACGTCAAGCCTGCACAGTGTGCAGCACAGCCACAGGAAGCACCTCTAGCAGCCATCTGAGGAGTGGAGATGCCCTAGGTCAAGCATAGGCAACCTTCAGCACTCCAGATGTTTTGGACTATACCTTCTATGATGGGCGTAAGAGCATTATAGGGGATGTAGTCCACTACATCTGGAGTGCCGAAGGTTTCCTATCCCTGCCCTAGGCTGTAATGTAAAGGTTGCCTTTTCTCTGAAAAGACAAAAGTTTACTGGGGAAAAAAAAAACCTGAAGGGAATGATTCTAGTCACCAGTACAAATCCATAATCTGTAATTGTTCTGGTGACTATAGCATCCCTTTATAAAAAAAATTTTTTTATATATATATATATATATTTTAAATAGCTTCATTGAATGGTATTTCTTTCAGAATGCCACACATTTGTTATGCATCCATAGATGTCCTCTTTGAGTGTATCATTTTGTTACAATACTCATCACGTTAAACATACCAAACCTATTCGGTTTAATATACAAGGTAAACAAAAATACAATAAAAACTGTACAGTAGACAATATTTTTTATTACATACTGTAGTTGAACTGTCAAATGCGTGTTAAAACATAACCAATATACAAAACGTATATTTTAAAGGATTGTACCACTTCCTTTGATACAATATACATGTACCTACCAATCTTTCTGAAATGTAGCCTTTAACATCCTACTCCTTTCACTATCATTCATAGATATGCACTATACACCTCAATTGCCAGTGCGGATTCATGGAGTGCAGCTGCATACATCTTAAATGTTAAAGGATCACGATAGGGTGAGTAACTCAAACATGTATTCCTGACCTTTTAGTGTTAAAACCACCATCTAGCCCCACTGGGCCCCTCATGCCTCCATAAATATAGCAAAATTTTACTGTATTAAAGCCTGAAGCTGTAGATCTGCATGTTGTTAGACTCAGAAAAACAAGCAGTCTGCTGACATCATTAGAAGTAATAGCCTAATCCAATCACAATGCTTTCCCATAGGATTGGCTGAGACTGACAAAGGCAGATCAGGGGTAGAGCCAGCACATTTCAAACACAGCCCTGGCCAATAAGCATCTCCTCATAGAGATGAATTGAATCAGTGAATCTCTATGAGGAAAGTTCAATGTCTGAATGCAGAGGGAGGAGACACTGAATGTTTGGATGCATTTTAGGCAGTCATGACCCAGGAAGAATCTCTAACAGACATCTGAGGAGTGGCCAGTGCAGTTATCCCTAGGCTGTAATATAAACACTGCATTTTCTCTGAAAAGACAATGTTTACAGAAAAAGGCCTGAAGGTAATGATTCTACTCACCAGAACAAATTCAATAAGCTGTAGTTGTTCTGGTGACTATAGTGTCCCTTTAACGGTCAATAATGATAAAATCCCATCATAACCAACTAGCCTTTAATGATATTATATCATGTGTTTTTATTTTATTTTTAAATTACATTCTGGAAAAAAAAACAAAAAAAAACACCACACACTTTTCTTACATGTATTTGCAATCTTAAACACCAGTGTACATATTTTCCAGCAAGATGCTATATTATATAAAATGTTAAAAGTTTGCAGGAAACTTATGCACATGTATGCAAGTGTAGATCTGATAAAGTAAATTTTTAAACATAAAATGCACACATGCATTGCTGTTTAGTGGGGCACTCCAGCCACCACAACAACTGTACATCAAAAACTCAAACTTCCCTCCTCGGATTTTTTTTATTTATTTTTTTAACTGTATGGCCTGAAATGCACAGTTGTGAAGTAAATAAAATAAATTTAAAATATAGTCTATAGCTCCACGACCAGCATCTCATGCATTAAGAAAAAAAAAAAAAAAAGTTTTAAGCAAGAATGCCCTATGTTAAAAAAAACAAAAAAAACAACAAATAAAATGCTATTAAATAAATTATAAACTGGCATAGTTATAAAAACTGTACAGCATTGTACATGTGTTTATTGTAATGCTGAAAGCAGTTGGATAGAATAGGTTTCCTCAGAGGAGGATCTCACATTGCAATAATCATCATCTGTACCAGTGGTGTATTTTGGTTTTGTGCTGCCCTAGGCATGACTAAACCTGGGCACCCCCTTAATCTAAATTTGCCACACCCCTTCCTGTCAAGGTTGCACCTCTATCTGATCAGGAACCTACCCTTTCCTCTTTAGACTCCACCTTTTAAAAGGGATACTGTAGTGCCAGAAAAAAAACAAAGCTGTTTTTCTGGCACTATAGTTCCTTATAGTGCCCCCTCGTTACTGAAGGGGTCACTTACCTGAACCTAGCGCTGGTGTCCCTCGGCGCTGGGTCAGGCTCCTTCTCCGTGCTTAGCATTGGATCAATTCTTTCCTATGGGGATTTAGCATTTGCAGGATGTCCTCATGTACAGCGTGAGGACATCCAGCATCAGTTAGAATCAGAGGCGGCGAGAGAGCTCTGATTTCCCTGCTCTGCTCCCTCGCGGGTTGTCTACCGATGCCGGAATGACGTCATATTCCGGCTCCCGTGGCATCAGCAAACGGCATGAAAGGCACGAGGGAGCAGGGCAGGGAAATCAGAGCTCCCTCACCACCTCTGATACGAACACAGCCGCACGCCTCCCAGCAGCCCCACTGGACCCCGGGGGGAAGACCGGGGAAACCAGAGTGGGCGTTTGGCGGCGGCATTTTTTTGCCACCCCCTGGTTAGTGCCACCCAAGGCAAACATCTAGTTTGCTTTGAGCTAAATACACAAGTGATCTGTACAGCAGTTTGGAACATCACATGCCAAGTTATTAATACTTTGCTTAGTGTACATCCTTGTGCCTCCCCCCCCCTCCCCAATCACAGACTTCCCAATGCAGGTCAAAGAGAAGTCTTTGCACGGCAGGTGCTCTGAGCAATTACTGGACTCAGTTTAGCTAAACAAGCCAGGATCTGTTGTCTGACAGCCAGGGGAGTGTAACAAAAGTGGCAATTTCTGTTGAAAAAAATAAATTAAAAAAGGACACTTATCACAAAGCATTTCAGCAAGCAAAAGTTCTTTAAGGAGTCTGGAGTGTCCCTTTAAAATGTGAGTTTACTGGTGAGTACCCTAGCTTAAAGGATATCTTAGAAGATATGGCCCTCCAAACCATTGTAACTGACAGAAAAGCTTATTGAATTTCTTCTACAAAGAACTACCTACCTGAAAAAGAGTGTCTTCACCATAGACCAACAGCCATAAACTGACATATCCAATTAAATGTTTATTTGTAATCCAGAACAAGAATTATAGAAATTCTGCCTTTTACCTAATCAATCTTGCATTAGGCATGCAAGAGCCCATTGCATAGCTAAAAGCAGGTGGAGACAAAATGTGATGAGAAACAGAAGATATGAATTCCGATCATATAATGTCCCAAGAACAAAAATCACCCAAAGTCTCTACAAACATTCATTAAAAACCCTGAGGTAGAGTTACTCATTTATTCACAAGGCAGAAATGTCAGATTTTCTATACGAGTAGTTTGTAATGGCACCAGTAGGGAGCATCCATGAGTGCTGCATTTTAGTTTTCTGGATTAATTGCTCCTCTACTGCAACACTGAAAAGAGCTCCCATGCAGGGTAAGGTACACTTGATATATTATGCACTACCCACTGGTAGTACTGACAAGCTAACCATGCAAAATGTCTCTTATGTGTAGTTTTTTTCCCCCCCAAACTCCCTTTTTTTTTATAGCAGATTATTTAAAATATATATTTCGATACGATGGGACCTGAGATAACAAGTAGGCAAATTCAGATAATCATTGTCCACCGAGCAGTGGGGATACGCCAAGACATTAAGACACCTGATAGCTGTCCTCCATTTACTTGCTTTATAAAGCTCCAAGGTACTGGTGGAAGTAGAGGCCAAAAAGACTTGTAACAAGTTGACAGACAGAGACCCACCATGTCATAAAAGAAAAGAAACCCCTATAAAATAATGGAGTGAATAGGCTTCGCACGGCACTCATTGCCCCCATGATCTGCTCCACAGCTGCCTGGACATCCTCTGAGTCATCATCTTCATCAGAGGAGGAGGTGGGTGGCTGTTGGGTAGGAAAGAGGTCTACAGCAGGAGTGAAACCAGGAGGCTCTGGGTATAAACCCCATGAATAGTCACCTATGAACCAAACACATTAGTTACCTACATGTGACATCTCAACATTAGATTATTAAAAAGGAAACTAAGCACAAGATTCACTACAGCTTAATATATTGGTTCTGGTATAAAAATACTGTCCCTGCAGTCTGACAATTTTATAAACCCCACCCACCCCCAAAAAAACCAAAAAAACAACAACAAAAAAACAAACCCACACAACTGCCTTTTCTGGAGTAAAGGTAGTGTTAACATTTGTTCTTACGGCTCCCGTATTGGCTGTCCATCAGACAGACACTAGAAGCCCTCCTTAATATGGTCCTGCAATTTTTGCATAACCAATATTCGAAGTCTTCAGCTCACTATAGAGATGCATTATTCCAGTGGTTCCACAACCAGTCCTTATGGTCCACCAATAGTCCAGGTTTTGTCAGTAACTCCATTGGAAACAAAAAAGGGAAATGCATAAATCCTGGATTGTTGGTGGGCCATGAGGACTGGTTTGGGGATCACTGTATTCATCTAATGCAGAAGTAAGCACTCCAGATATTGTGGACTACATCTCCCCTGATGCTTTGCCAGCACTGTGAATGTAAGACCATCATGGGAGATGTAGTCCACAATATCTAGAGTGCCAAAGGTTGCCTAGTCTCCGATCTAATGCAGCTCTATAAAGAGATGCTGATGGGCATAGAGAGACTATTGCCCTGCATGCTCACTAGCCTAACAATCCATTCCTATTGGTGGTAATCACCTGTAAAGATGATCTCAGGCAAGTGAGGAATGGTGTACTGGGTGGCTAAAGGCAAGAACACATCTTTATTTTACTGTCAAATAGGGGGCCATGACTAAATAAGGAACATAAAACAGGTCTTAGAGTGTTCCTTTAATTAGGCTCATAACACAAGTTATTTTACAGACATAAATATCTAATTTTCCTATGCATTTTAATGATTTACAGGTTCATTCACTAAAGTGACAATATAAGGTCAAAATAGCCGAGCTGCAAACAGAATGGAGTTTGAGAATATTTCTAATCCAGCTATTTTGGAATATCAGAGTAGCCAAACTGAAAGCAGAGCTGTACAAATAGATAAAAAAAAATAAAGAGTAGTGGGTTTTAAAAAAAACAAACAAACAAAAAAAACAGTGGAGCGCTATATACCTTTAAAGTGCAACGTGTGTGTGTGTATATATATATATATATATATATATATATATATATATATATATATATATATATATATATATATATATATATATATATATATATACACACACATACATATACACACATATATACATATACACACACATACATAGCAATATTTCAACAAGTTACCTAATTGGCTTTGATGAAAATATTTGGTAAAAAACAAAGATATTGGTATATTTTTTTAATATTGCACGGTCTTTTTTTTTTTTAAATAAAATAAAAATTATTACTTTAATACCATTACCAGAGTTCCTGCACTTATAAAAGAAGGTGGTGTAGTTCTCAACCATACAAAGCTACAATACTGATCCAGGATTTGGGCTCTACGTTTTGGAGTATAGCTATGACTACTCATAAGTTTCTCTCTTAAAAGGAATTTTACACTATTTCCAAATGTTCCTTTCACTCTGAGATACATCACTGGATAAAGGAACCCATTAAAATAACTAATACAGGAGAGGGGAGGGAAAGGTTGCCTAAACGGATCTTAAAGCTATACACATTGGAGCTAGGTGGATTAGCTCTAGAATATTGTGAGTGTTCCATGTTTTACACTATTGTCTAATATTTTTCTGTTTAAGGTATACTTGCTGGTTTACCACAAAATTTTCAAAGCCAGCTAGGTAACTTGTTGAAATATTGCACTAAACACAGATCTGTACACATGTTGCACTTTATAGGTATATAGCACTCCACTGTTTTTTTTGTTTTTTTTTTTATTGAAAGCAGAGCTGATTTAAGGGATTTTTTTTTTTTTTAAAACACACCTCAGCTATTGACTTTAGTGAATAACCCTGTTTGAATTGTCGGCGATTCTCACTTTAGTAAATAACCCTATTCATATATTATTGCACAAAACACTTTCTATGGGTAGATTACTTTGTTAAACAGGTTTAACTCACTAACAAGTGAAATTTGCTGACATTTCCTGAAACAAAAATTTGCTAAATTTTGACCGATTTGCCCAAAAGTATATTTTTTTCTATTCCTTTTAATAGTCAGCCATTGGGTCAGTGATTAGTGACCAGGCAAAATAATATTGTTTCAATGACTTCATAAGTAGACTTGAGCCAAATCTAAATGGTGTTGTATTGTAAGCAGTACTGGAGACCATATCTCCAGAAGGATATTGAGACTTTAGAGCAAGCATGTCAAACTTGCGGCCCGCACGCGGCCCGCAATGGACATCTTTGCGGCCTGGCGAGCTGCGAGTACATGCTTTGTGTTAAAGCAGAGTAGGCACCCGCTTTCCCCACATTGCTGGTGCCTACTCTGCTAATACTCACCCGGCCAGGGAGGAGGGCCAGCGAGGGAGCTCAGTGTTCCTGCTCCTCACTGCTACCTCGCTCCGTCTGTAGTGAAGCCAGGCGCCGGAATATGACGTCATATTCCGGCACCCTGCATCACTAAACTGCGCAGGAGGGAGCAGACAGAAGATCCCCACATCAGCTTCCCAAGGTAGGGAGCAATAAAGAAAATGATGTGAGTGCATCTGTCAGTGTAAGTGTGTGCGTCCGACGTGACATAAACGTGCTCCACCTTCACAGGGTTTCAAGAAGTAGCTGGAGAATCAGATTTGGCACAGGGTGCGGACGGCGCCATTGAAAGTATACCAGAGGCTGGACTCCAGAGTCGCATACTGGCAGTGGAGTCTGCTTGTTGGATAGAGGGGGGTGCTGGGATTTAGTAGAGGGGGTGGGGACTGGGATTTGTTTTTTGTTTACAGGGGGATGCTTTTTTTTTTTTTTTTTAAATACTGTACTTTTTCAAAATAAACCTTTTTTGCAGCCCACATAAACTTAAACCTTGTTTATGTGGCCCATGTTAGACTGAGTTTGACATGCTTGCTTTAGAGAGAGTTCAGAGAAAAACTACCACAACAAGAGGACAGTCTTAAATTAGAGGGGCAAAGGTTTAAAAATAATATCATGAAGTATTAATTTACAGAGAGGGTAGTGGATGCATGGAATAGCCTTCCAGCTGATTAATACAGTGGCAGACTTTAAGCATGCGTGGGATAGGCATGAGGTTATCCTAGACTTAAGATAAGTATTTAGAAAATTGGGCAGACTAGATGGGCCGAATGGTTCTTATCTGCCGTCACATTCTAGGAGTTCATTCAGAGATCTAGTAGTTATTTGTAGTGCGTATGTATATACACACACACACACACACACACTGTTCGTCGTAGTAAAAAAATGCATTATTAATTCAAGTACAGGTTTCAATGAATGTACTTAAAAAGTGAATACTACAAACAAAACTATTCTATCATCCCTTTTCACACGTGACCATTGCATTTGGTTTTACTTGCCCAGAGATTTCAGCAGCAACACACAGTGGATGGTAAGCATTATAGGAGCCAGATACTGCAGAGCGACCACAGTCAGGTAGCAGAATATGCGGGAGATCTACACAGCAAGAAATAGGTTCACATCAACATCAAGATTAACACATGTACCCAATATGATCTACAAGAACTTTATGGTTTAAAAAAACACACACACAACAACAACAACAACAACAACAACAACAACAACAACAACAACATCAGTTCCTGCCCTTGTGGAAAGAGCTTTGGGGTTGACCAAATATAAAAAAATTAAAAATAATATAAAAAAAAATAAAAAAAAAATACAGAACTTTAGGGTACCTGTAATGACCAATTAATGACTGCAGAACATTCCATAGCTTTAACAACTCTGGCATGGAAGGTTATAGTGCGTGCAGAGCTAGACAGTGATACCTAGAGCTTGCCTCTGTCAGCTGGTGTCAAAATCGGAGGCTCCATGCTGGGCAATTTCTAGCCCTCAAAGTGAACACTGTACACTGGCATTGGATTCATTCATATTCAGCTGGAGTACAGGAACATCACTACTGACTGGATATTGCCCAGCAAGTCCCACATACACACTTTATATAGTCCCCAGGGCTTTGCATGCATTGCTGTGTGAGGCTTGCCACAGAAAATAAAAAGTATTATGTGTTCTGAAATTATTAGCAAACAAACATAAAAAAAAAATGGATAGAATGTCGGCCCTCATCCACGAAACCACAACACACTGTGACAAAATATGGGATCCATGGCTTGCAGAACCCTCCACCCATGTTTGACACAATACTGCGGTGCGCCACCCCCTTCTCCCACAACCCCACACCCCAAACAGACACCCCACCACTGCCGCACACCTACCCTACCCCCATTATACCCTGACAGTAAAACAAAGGCAGACAGCTGACTCTGAGGAGGCGAACTGCAACAACGAAACAGAAATGCCTAGGACAAACACCCCCCCCACACCACCCCCTCCCCTTGACAAATCCACCTCTTAGAACGCAAGGCAAAACTAGCAACATTAGACGAAGATGCCCTCACAACACAAGGGGACAAAAGCAGAGATACCACACGCCCCCAACGCACCGAGTACGGGTCAGCAGATATAAAATAAGCGCAACAACACTACCCCATAACACCAAGCCTCTTACAACCAAGGGACATCATCCATCAACGCCACACAGACACCAAGCTACTACTGAAGGGACGAGATGACCGTCCATAAATAACACATAACCTAGACTACAATCCACAACCCACCTGACTAGATACGAGAGACCCAGAGCCACCCTAACTTCTCGGGGCACCACCCAACAAGGTGTCTCCCATATCAGGATCACACGACCACATAACGACGAAGATAGACAACTATATGACAAAGACCATTGACAGACAACAGAGGTATGAAAAACATAATTGATCAAGATGACGGGCACATCAAGAAACGAATGTACCTTTAACCAAATAACCATCTTCTTTCTGTACCCATACAATTTCATTGTACCTCATACAACCCGGCTTTTGTACAAGCCTAAGTATTGTTTTCCAGCTGTATGTTATGTCAATGTTAAAATAAAGAATTATATAAAATGTTCAAAAAAAACAAAAAAACAAAAAAAAAAACACAAAAACTTATCTGTAGCACTAAATCCTGGTTATTAAAGAAGAACAGTGACTTCCATTTCCTTCACACCAGTAACACTATTTCAGTGCTAATCAGGGGGAATGAACTTACCTTGGCAATATTTCATTCTTGGCAGGTCCTTGGCAAGCATTAGGTTGCTAGAATAGGACCTGACAGGCTTATGCAATGTAGGTTCAGAAATTGTAACGAAATCCCCATTATTTTTGACTAGGTGAAGTGTTTTTGAAGGGATTCTATAGTGTCAGTAATACTAATCTAAATTCCTAACACTATAGAGCTTCTGGTCCCTCGTTCCCTGCCCCATGGCTCATAAAACACCCAGTTCAATCCAGCTAGAAACATAGAATGTGACGTCAGATAAAAACTATTCGGCCCATCTAGTTTGCCCAATTTTCCTAATACTTTCATTAGTCCCGGGCCTTATCTAATACCTAGAATAGCCTTATGCATATCCAATGCATGCTTAAACTCCTTTACTGTGTTAACCTCTACCATTTCAGCTTGAAGGCTATTCCATGCATCCACTACCCTCTCAGTAAAGTAATACTTCCGGATATTTTTAAACCTTTGCCCCTCTAATGTAAGACTATGTCCTCTTTGTGACAAACGCTCCTTTCCATGTACGTTTGCCACGGACTCCTGGAAGAGTGTAGAAGCCGGCCTCTACCCACAGACTATGGTCCAGGTCTGGGACACCGTTTGGGAGTTACTCTGCCCAGCCACTATTAACAGCTCTCTTTGGGCGCCTCTGGTTCGGCACTTTCCATTCATGCGAATGGAACCAAACACCCTGGAACTATTTGGGGCTAAGACCACGTGTGCGGCCGGTCAGAACTTTAATACAGTGGTGTTTCCCCATACACTGCATGTATCCGAGTGCTTTTTGAAGAACTTAGGCTATTTAACAATGTATTATTTGTGGGGTTATTCCAAACGAATAGAAGAGGCACACGCACACTCTTTCTACCCACACCACCCCCCGCAACTCCCTTGGTTAGGAGTACCCTCACTTAAGGCATAGAGTATAACCACCAGCTTGCGTAGCCACACTAAGGAGAAGCTACACCCAATCACCCTCTGCATAGACGTGAGAGGACATAGTTGTGTATTATCAGAGGTGCTCTCATAGCACCCTCAATTCAATTCTCTCTAAACACACGTGTGCCGCAATTACTGACATGCTACCTCCTATTTAGCCCTCCCTTCAACACAGCATTAGGACTGAATAGGCAAACTACACCTCTAAACACACAAAATGAGTCCTATCCCCTACAGTAGGACCTAGGCCCACGTTCACAGTATGTACAAAATAAAAAAAAATAAATAAAAAATAAATAAATAAAAAAAAACTGGTGCAGTTACTCAATATTTTCCAACCATACTATGTTATGCATTGGAAACTCTATACCACAAAGTATGTTCAATGTATGGTTTACGCAATGCACTGCAAAAATAAATTTTTTTTAAAAGATGCATGATCTTGCACTTATCCACATTAAATATCAGCTGCCACAGCTCTGATCATTTTTCTAGTTTACCTAAATCATTTGCCATTTGGCTTATCCCTCCTGGAACATTAATCCGGTTACAGATCTTCGTATCATCAGCAAAAAGATATAACTTACCATCAAGACCTTCTGCAATATCACTAATAAAAATATTACAAGAGAATGGGTCAAAGTACAGATCCCTGAGGTAACTAGACTTTGCTTCAAGTATACTCCATTGACTACAACCCTTTGTTGCCTGTCACTCAGCCACTGCCTTACCCATTCAACAATATTGGAATCCAGACTCAGAGATTGCAGTTTATTGATAAGCCTTCTATGTGCAACAATGTCAAAAGCCTTACTGAAATCTAGGTGCGCAATGTCTACTGCACCACCCCTGTATCAATAAGATTAGTTTGGCATGATCTCCCTGAAGTAAACCCATGTTGTATCTGATCTTGAAATCCATGTGATTTTAGATGTTCATCAATCCTATCCTTTAACATGGTTTCCATCACTTTCCCCACTACTGAAGTAAGGCTTACTGGCCTATAGTTGCCCGATTCATCCCTACTATCTTTATTGTGAATGCGAACAACATTTGCCAACTTCCAATCTTCTGGGATTACTACTATTAACAATGATTGGTTAAATAAATCTGTTAATGGTTTTGCTAATACACCACTAAGCTCTTTTAAAAACTTTGGGTGTGTTCCATCAGGTCCTATTGACTAATTTGTCTTTACTTTTGACAGTTGAAATAGAACCTCTTCCTCTGTAAACTCACATGTAACAAATGATTAATTTGTCCTTTTTCCTAACTGAGGCCTCTTTCCTTCACTTTCATCTGTAAATACTGAACAAAAATATTCATTGAGGCAGTCAGCTAGACCTTTATCCTCTTCTACATACTTTCCTTCTTTTGTTTTTAAGCTAACTAATCCTTGTTTGACTTTCCTTTTTTCATTTATGCATCTAAATAAAAAATAAAGTTTTGTCCTTTTTTATTGACTGCTATTTTCTCTTCTGTGTGTGATTTGGAAGCTCTTAGAACATGCTTAGCCTATTTCTGCCTAATCTTAGAGATCTGTCCATCTTTCTCACTTTTTTTTTTTTTTTTTTTAATACTTCCTAAATGGTAGCGTTTTGTTTTTTACAATTTGGCCACAGTCGTTTTTTTGTTGCCTTCAGTAGTGCAACTTTGAAATAATCCCATTTCTCTTGGACTCCATTTAAACTCCCACAGTCTGACAATAACTCCTTTACACATATTCTAATTTTAGAAAAAAAGTTTTGTTTTTCTAAAGGTCGAAAACTTTTGTTTTTGTGTGCTGTGACTCAGTCACTGTTTTTATATTAAACCACACTGACTGATTATCACTGGATCCTAAACTTTCACCTACAGTAATGTCTGATACCAAATCTCTATTTGTTAACACTAAATCTAGTATGGCCTCTTTATGAGTTGGCTCCTCAATGACTTGTCTTAGAGACAATCCCAGTAGTGAGGTTAGAATATGTGTGCTCCTGGTACAAGCAGCTATTTTGGTTTTCCAGTTCACATCAGGACGATTACATTCACCCATGATGATAACTTCCCCATTCATCGTCATTTTAGCTAATTCCAACTACTAGACTATCTAACTCTTATTTGTATTGGGGGGCCTATAAATCACACCTACACGAGTTACTGTGTGATTACCAAATTCTAACATAACCCAAAACAGACTCTTTGCCTCACTTACTTTTTTTTTTAGGATAGATTATATGCTAGCCTTCACATACAGGGCCACCTCTCCCTCTTTCTTGACTTTCCTGTCTTTTCTATATAATGTGTACCCTGGTATTGCTATGTCCCAGTCATTATACCATGTCTCAATAACAGCAACTAAATCTACATTATTAGTTGCCATTAGCTAGGCGACCAAAAGTCTAACCACAGGCAGTGCCTCCAGTGGGTAATTTTCAAAAACTGCAATGATTTACATTGCAGGATTAAGTGGGACTGGGATACTGCACCCAGACCACTTCAATTAGCTGAAGTGGTCTGGGTGACTAATGTCCCTTTTAATAAAAATACTATATTCCGTGAGCCTTGAAATTGCTGTATAGTGAACAAATGAGTGTGCTGGATCTAGCATGTTTATATTAGAGATAGATAGATATCTATATCTATCTCTGAACGTAATAGTTATTAGGTTGTGCTAAAAGTAAGGAAGAGACAGTTCCTCTATAAGTGGTTAAACACAGTTTACCTTTCTGCTCACTCACCTTCCGCTGAATCTCCAACATGGAGATCCTCCCAGCCTCTCTCTTCATACGTTCTACCCATTGTTCAGCTAGACCTAGGTATGCTTGCAAGTGATATCGAGTCAACGATAGACGCAAGACACACAGAACCACGATGATCCACAACCGGAAGGTATTATATGCAGAGTTAGACATTCTGCAAAGAATAGGTGAAAATCAGACCGAAGTAGTGGAAATAAATAGATTATATAGGTTTATGTGTAATCGCAGGGTATCGCACATCACAACTTTAAAATTATAATAACTGCCATTAGAAAAAAAAAAAAAGTTACAGGAGGGCCTACCACATTGCTTCTCCCTTCCCACAGTTTATTTTTGATGGGAATTGAAGAAATACAAAGGTATTATTTCTTAAGGCTATTATTGAAGGATGGAATTACAAGTTTTAGATAATGCAGCATATTGTAGCCACTCACAGCTGTACAGTCTCTTTGCCCATTGGTGCATGAAGCAGGAAGTCTCTGGTGATGGGTCGGATCCACAGGACCACCACAATGACAGGTGGAAGGAAGCTCGCATGAAGCAGGAGCCTTCAGGAAAAAACAAAATTAGTTAACAGTATGTTTTTGCCACTGCACCTTTCAAAGTAACACACTTGTGCAAAAAGCTTGTTATCTTATCCTAACATACAAAATTAAGCCCTGCGCTTAACTCCCACTGTGATGGTAGTCACTGGGGATGAAAGACAGACACTGACACAATGTGAGGGTCCCCAGATTCCCTATGTGTTTTATTCATGTTGTGCCCATTATTGGTATTGCTTGTCTGTGCCTCTCCCCCTTTTTCCTGTCCTGTTTCCCCAGCAGGGCGTTGTCCCAGGGACACTGCCAGACCAGTTTAACCCCTTAAGGACCAAACTTCTGGAATGAAAGGGAATCATGACAGGTCACACGTCATGTGTCGTTAAGGGGTTAAACTAGCCACCCTGCCACTCCTCTATTGTCTGACCCCACCCTTTCTTGTACTATTTTACTTTATGCACCTTATTGTATGTAATTGAGGCTGTTGGGGGCTTAAAATAAAATAATTGTGCTATGTCTATTAAAGTTAGTTGCGGTTTTAACTTTCACCAAGTGTTGTCGGGTATTTGGTACAGGGTGGAAAAGGCCCTCAGTGATCCCAGTCAAGCCACGGTGACTGGTTGTGGAGTGCTCCAGGGTCCCTGATAACCAAGAGGAAGCAGACTTGGCGGAGGTACTTTGTCAGAGTGCTGGAGCTCCGTTATAACCACTAATCCTGGGTGGCAGTAATGACTATAGTACACATCAGCCCCAATACATACCAGGGAAAAAACAAAAACAAAAAAAAAACAACACATTTTACTTTCGCACTATAACAAAAAACCTATACACAAATAACTGGAGATTTTTTTAATTTATTTTTTTAGTATCACTCAAATGGCCATTTAAGTCTTAGCTCACCTGTCAAGTCAAGGGAAAACATCTTAGGCAAGTCCTACACAAACAATGCACCTTGCGGCTTTCAGCTAAAATCTCTACCTGAAAGCCACAAGGTGAATTGTTTGTGTAAGACTCACCGAAGAGATTTTCCCTGTGGCAGGTGAGCTTACACTTAAATGGCTATTGGAGTGATACAAAAAAAAAAAAACCCTCCGGTTATTTAAAGGTGCATAGGGATTTGGGATAGTGTGAAAGTAATTTTTTTCTTTGGACATTATCCTATCCCATTCATACACTTACTGGAGCATTGGTCTGTCAGCTGCCATCTTAAGTGCATCCAGATGAGTCTGTGCCAATCGCAGCCCAGGAAATGTGAGGCACCCACCAATGAAAGAGCACAGGGCCACCAGTGCAATTTTGAAAGCAAGTTTGATGAAAGGAACTCTGTTAAAGGTGAGAAAGTACAGTTTTGATTAACAGCATACATTAATTTAGTTGCCTGCAAAATATAGAATGATATAGAGCCAAGTTCAGCAATGTAGGCCTTTGAAAAAAACAAAAGGGAATCTTGGGTTCTTTGGCGAAATGGAAGAAATATGCACAGTTAGAAGATGTAGTGAATCAACATTGATAAGCTGAAAATTAGAGGACATGGATTGTATGCTCGATATACTTACGAGCTTTGCCATCCTTGCTGCTTCAAGAAATGTTCCAAGTTCTGACAAAAGTTGGTTAAACCTGTGGGGAAGATAGGAGCAGGTCAGATAAAACTTTCACTGACTTGTATCATATGGAGTTGGTAGTTAATACAATTTAAAATTATCCAGCCTAACCTAGTACTTAGTGGGTGCTTTGTTCCATTACAACAGGACTCCTGCAGTAGAATGAACAAACCCTTCCTTACAAAATTATTGGATCGCATGCCATGTCCTTTCTATCACGGTTTGAAAAGACAATGTTCGTATGAATCACCCTCACCTGGTTCCAGCCCAAACTCCAGATACTCTTCTCGGACGATCATCACAATCATAGCAATGAGAAGGAAAAGGAAGGCAAATGTCAGGCAGACCGATCTCTCTCCACCCTCCACTGAACGGAAATAATGCTGCATTACGGTGAACAGGACTTTACTGAAGACTTATTGGTAAGGAACACAGGCCAGTCACATTGCATGCCAAACATTGATCTGATTATTTATACACCCTTAAACTTTCAAGACGTTAACATCAGTGTCCCAACCATGGTACAAGAAGGATACATAGAGAAAAGTACGGTCATTAGACACCAAAGGACACCAATATTGAACTCATCTTGGGCATCAACCAGACAATAATATCCCTCAGTGAACAGGTAGATAATGGTAGAGTACAAGGAAAAGTCGATAAACCACTGGTATTCCAGGAAATAGCGAAGCACTGTGGAGAAAACAAAGCAAGTCTAGAAGACAAAAATAAAAGACAACAACACAACACTGGAGAAGTCAATAAACTGATACTGTGTGATCAATGGCAGGTTTTAGGATTTAAATTAGAGTTGTGTGTGATTGGGTAGTTGATGAAGTGCTGTACTATGAATGACTGCTTTTAGCATTATGTTACTTGTTGATTCAAGGTCATCAGTGATTGTAAACGTGAATGTTTTACAAAAGAAATAGAGTTCAATATTGTCTTTTTACAAACACATATATACTCGCAATTCAGCAGGTCGCAGCTGATAAAGGTTACAGGCACAGACTATGGTTATAACCATAACAGAGTGTGGTTAGTTCTCAGCAGGCCCGGACTGGCCATCGGGCATACCGGGCAAATGCCCGGTGGGCCGCAATGGCCGTGGAAAGAAATAATAAATCACAGGATCTCCCCTGCCAGCCCCTGCAGGGCCAGCGCTACCCGAGCGCCAACCCTGCTGTGTGCCTCCATGGGCCAGTGGGGAGATCAAAGATATCCCTCACCGGCCCACAGGCATGGAGATGTGGCCGCCGGCTGGGGAGGGAGGAGAGAGGACCGGCGGAGCTCTAACAAGGGTTAGCACGGCAACGCTCAGATCTCGCGAGAGTGAACTCTAACCCGCAGGTTAGAGTTCACTCTCATCACTGGACCACCAGTGAAGGCAGCATGGTCCCCCCCTCATGGCAACACAGCTCCCCCGCCCCTCCCAGGCTAAAGGTAAGAAGGTGGGGACATAAAACTTTTTTTTTTTTTTTTAATTATTAATTTAGAAAAATAAAAGGCTCTTATATATATATATATATATATATATATATATATATATATATATATATATATATATATATATATATATATATATATATATATATATATATATATATATATATATATATATATATATATATATTTTGGACGTATTGTATATGTGTGAGGTGCGCAGTGTGTTTGTAAGAGGGGTGCTGTGTGTGAGTGTGTTTTTATCTGCTGTCAAATTCTAGGTTTCTAATTTTCTTTGTCTGTTAACTCACTGAGGGATGGATATGGAGATAGATAGATAGATAGATAGAGATATAGATATATATATATATATCTATATCTCTATCTATCTATCTATCTCCATATCCATCCCTCAGTGAGTTAACAGACAAAGAAAATTAGAAACCTAGAATTTGACAGCAGATAAAAACACACTCACACACAGCACCCCTCTTACAAACACACTGCGCACCTCACACATATACAATACGTCCAAAATATTATATATATACACACACACACACACACACACACACACACTACAGCACCCCTCACACTGCACCACTACACACATTACGCTCCAGATACACGCTAGATTCCTTACCCTATATGCACTCTTAATCCTCTGCACACACACACACACACTCACTCTTCTATACACACTCTGGGTCCTTTACACACACACTGCACCACCTACACACACACACACACACACACTACATTCCTTGTAAGCAAACACACCCTCTCTACAACCCCTACACACACACCACATCACCTATACACACACACACACACACACACACACACACTACTGCCCGTATGTACACACTAGCTACATCCCCTATAACACTATGCCCCTATACACACACTCTCTACAGCCCCTAGCCACACATATTACACCACAAAATTGACCTATTTACACAATACCACACCACACTCAACACACACAGGCAATCCCACAAGCATGCGCCAAACACATGCACCATACACTTTCCTGGCCCTTTTATCCTCTGGTATCCCACCAGAGACAATTTAAAAGCAAACACAGCGCAAGCATGTTATTACATTTGCTTGCGCTGCGCAGAACAAATATAGGGCCTTTTTCTAATGCTAGAGCTCTTCAGCGGGGCTCTGCGCATTGAACCAACATGCTCACTTTCACAAGGGGCGTACTTGTCATTAGTGATGACAAAACACACCCTCTCTGGGCCCGCCCCCTTCTTGGGGGGCTGCTCTAATTGAAAAATGCCCGGGCCTAATTTTTTCCCAGTCTGGCCCTGGTTCTCAGATGCAAGTTCGCTATCGATCCCCAAAATACATACACAAAACAAGTCCAGCCTCGAAGGACACTCAGTGAGATTTATTAAAACATAGTGTAGTGATGTAAACGGGAATGAGTCACAAACTGAAATGGGCTGACTAGTTACACAGATTCCCATGGTGATTGCTCTACTTTTAATACTTTGTTACATTTTTCAGAATATAAAACTTTGTTAAATCTCACACATTATGTGTATCATCCAACATGGGTGCAGGAATAACAGTAAGAGAGAAAACAAAATGGCAGCAGATCTTCAGATGATCAAATTAAAAAGCAAACGTCTGATCTTACCAAGAGCATCGATAGTAGTAATTGGCTGTGTATCCAAGTGTAGATCTATGTCTCTGGGGACAGTCAATGGCTTCTCATCTGTTACCCCATTTACCCTCCTATTAAAAGAAAAGCCGCAGAAATAAAGATTACATTGTTATGAGATATTATTGCAGGTTTACTTCAAAACCAGAGACCAGAATTCATCTAGAGCATACATACAAATGCACTATCTCCACTTAATAACCTGGTAACCTTAAGACCCAGTGGTTGGTTAGAGGGATGGCAGCAAACAGCATAACTGTGCGTGTCTGTCTTGAACACACACTGCTGTTTACAGTTTTCATTTAAGCACATGATCAAGTTTGAGGTTTATTATTATGATAACCATTCGCATCTCTGGAACGCAAGAATAGAGCATACATGGAGATCAGACTGGACCCGAATTTACAAACATTTTTTTTCTTCATGGGTGGAGGTCATACAATAGATTTACTGCCTATTTGGTAACTTCTTCTAGACTGTAAGCTCATTTGAGCAGAGTTCTCATCATATTGTTCCTGTAACATTTTGTAATTGTATCAATTGTTAACTTTCCCCTTTTATAATATTGTAAAGCATTGAGAAATAAGTTGGCGCTATAGAAATGTCAATAATAATGATGTCAGACAGTGATGAGGTGACATAGACAAGGTTATTTATTGTACTGTGACTTGTCAAGAATTCAAAGTGAATTTCAAATTTTAGACCAAAATAGCCAAAATGCAATATCTGGAGATTTCTCTATTTAGTTTTTTTGGCAAAACTGATGTAAAGGTTAATTATACATTACAATAATACAAATGCTGTGTCCTGTTTATGGTTAATTCTTCCAGAATTTACAATGGGCACTTAGATTGTAAGTTACAACCAGATTCCAAAAATCTGACAACGATCTGAAAGAACCACAACAGACAACTTTTTAATAAAACCTAAAGGATAGGACATGATGTTGCTGAATGCCTTTGGATAGAAAAAACAAAACAAAAACAGAAAGCTTGGACTATGACTGTAACGGAACCGCTGCACCCCGACCGGGTACCTTCCGCCGACGGATGCTCCTAGTGCTTTCCGAGGACTCCAAGCACTCTTCCTGACACCATAACCACTGCAGACCCCACGAACCGCCGCAGCTTGGTTGGGATCTCGCCGTCTCCACCCACTCTGGACCCAGGACCAGGGTCCAGCTTCCAGCAGGTCGACCTCTCTCCGAATTCCAGAGAGCAGGAACAGGAACAAGCTCTTAGCAGAGCTTAGTGATTATACCCTGGGGAGTATAGTGATTATAGCAATCCCCAGAGTGTAGTTTCTCCAATCCCCCAAACATGAGCCGAAACTTCATGAAGGTACAAGATGATCTGACTCCAATGAGCGTTTATTACTCCTTATATACAAGTTTTCAGGTCAGAGGCACACCCCCTGGACCTGGTGGTAAACTGTGACAAAAGGGCCACAAACCAATGGGAACACTAATTAACATGATAACACTCTCACATACACAATGAAATCCCTCATCTCCATCCTGGAGAGAATTGGCTTAAGGCACTGCAGTAAACTCAATTATCTCCAGGTACAGAAAATATCTACATTTAACACTAACAGCAAAATACATAAAAGTACATAAAAATACATAATTCTTATTATATTACACAGAACCCCCACATTTAACCTATCCCCAGATAGCTCGGATCTGAGCGCCCAATCTAGGTGAACAATAGACAGGAAACGGGGGAGGGGAAGAAACACCTTCCCATGGATTCCAATGGGAAGAAACTGTCTTTAGAAGCCAATAAGCCCCAAATAGTCTTTTTTAACTGGCAATACACCCCAGGGCCATAGTCATGAGGAAGGAGGCTGGCAATCAGGCTCCTCCAAAAGCCGGGGGCAAAGGGCAGCTTGTCACCTAACAATCCAGGGACAAAAGGCATTTCGTCACAATGACAAAAAAGGAAGGGAAACACTTTAAAACTTTTGTAATGCCAATTAGCTTTATTTTAGATATACAATTGTATTTGATAAAATATTTCTGTGTGTACAATATCAGTGTTTAGCATATACGTGTGAGATACAAACAATACTTTACCGTTCTCTTTTGGCTTTTGGCTTTTGCTTCCCAGCTAGAGCTCGAAGCTCATCTTCTGTGGGATGTTTGTATCGGAACAAGCTTTAAAAATAAATAAATGTGTATATATATAAAAATAAAAATAAAAATAATAATAATAATAATAATAATAATAATAATAATAAATCTTTTTTTATTGCTTGTATGAAACGGACTAAAAAAATAAATAAATAAGCACAGTACACATTGCCCTATTGTAATTTCATGCCTAATTTATTAGTGTTTCCACTGAATCTGCATTTAACCCAGCTAATTTCAGGTTTACATTTTAATATCCCTGAGCTGGTTAGGCTTTACACTGTGCGTACATTGGCTTATTCTTGACTAGGATTTATCTGCTGTTACCATTTTATGTACGTTAAACATTTCTAAGGATTAGTAATCTATGCGGTCTCATTTATCCTATATTATACTATCCTATAGTGCACGGGTAGGCAACTTTCGGCACTCTAGATGTTGTGAACTACATATCCACTGAAGGAAGAAAGTTTGCGTAAGACCCAACAAAGCGGGGAATTCCCAAGAGATTACCATTAATTGAAACCACTATATCAAGGTAAAATGCAAACTTTATTAATTCAAATAAAACCCACCAAAAATAGTGTGCGCTACAAACGTAACTGCGTGAAAAACCTAGTGTGTGTATAGTCTACTAGTGTGGTTAGTAGACTATACCTATTGAATAATGAGATGAGATATATATACACCTAGTTTACTTCCAATATAGGAATACTTTTAAATATTTATAATACAGATATAGATAGATATCTATCTGTATTATAAATATTAAAAGTATTCCTATATTGGAAGTAAATTAGGAACAAACGGAGGAAAGAGACTATGAATAAATATCCTCTTTTAACTAAACCTCCTATAACGGAAATAAGACTGATACACTGTATCTAAGTGGTAGCCACCTAGTATAATGGATTAGATGTTACAAAAATGTGATGTTATGTAACCAAGCTCAATCAGTGAAACTAGAAAATACCTCATAGAACTCCCATTAAATTGCAAAAAGTGACAATTAACTGGATATACAGATTGCTAGAAGGTAGCATTTGATATGAAAGCAATGTTTTAATACAAAACAGGAAGTAGTATTGGAGTAAGAATTAAAGTTTAGAAAAAAAAAGGCAACATTAAAAAGGACCACTTTAGGCACCCAGACCACTTCAGCTCAATGAAGTGGTCTGTGTGCCCCTAGTTTTAATCCTTCAGCTGTAAACAGCAGTTTTAGAGAAACTGCTATGTTTACATTAAGGGTTAATCCAGCCTCTATTGGCTGTCTCCCTGACAGCCGCTAGAGGCTCTTCCGAGATTCTCACTGTGAAATTCACACAGATGATGCAGGCCATCCATAGGAAAGCATAGAGTAATGCTTTCCTATGGACTGATTGAATGCGCGCGCAGCATATATATAAAAAAAAATTTAAAAAATGAGGTGGGCTAGGGATGTGGTGTAGGGCACATAGTGTGGGATGATAGGGATGGCAGAGTGAGGGGGGTGACCCTCATGGTAGGACACATAATGTGGGATAGGGATGGCAGAGTGAGGGGGGTGACCCTCACTCTGCCATCCCTATCCCACATTATGTGTCCTACCATACTACATCCCTATCATCCCACACTATGTGCCCTACACCACATCCCTAGCCTACCTCACATACACACACTCTACATATCTTACAAACTACATCCCTATCACACATACCTCTATACTGCACCACACCATGTTCCCTACACACACTACATAACCTACACACTACATCCCTTTCCCACACAAAAAAAACCAAAAAAAAAAAAACCACATAACCTACACAAATCATTTGGGGGGAAAAAAGTCATTTTCGGTTTTCGGCAAAGGGCATCCTGAATTTTCGGCCCACAATTTTCATTTTGGTGCATCCCTAAAATAATATGCAACCCCCCTACTGCTTTGGGGCAGTCCCTCAGGTGTTTAAATATAAAGCAGGGAGTGGTAGAGGGGTTAGGATTGGGGTTTAGAACAAAGGCAACATTGAAGTGTAGTTCACATAAATATGAAGAATAACCTGCCTCTAAATTCTAAAAGATAGATATAATAATAATAATAATAATAATAATAATAATAATAATAATAATAATAATAATAATAAATAATAATAATAAATAATAATAAGTTAACCCCCTACTGCTTCAAGGCAGTCCCCAGTATGACTTACAAGCCCTTTTCCTTAGCGTGAAAAGGTAGTCAAAGTGCCCAACCGCAGAGTAAGGTGAACTAAAAACAGATGCACATTAGTGCAGATCACCCAAAAAGTGCCGTCGACTCAATGCACATTTAAGAGCAAGCTGTGCTTTTCTCAAGAGACTCGAATGTATTCGCTGATGCTTTGCCGACATTATGGGAGATGTAGTCCACAACAACACAACTGGCGTGCAGAAGGTTGCCTACCCCTGCTATAGTGTGTAGTTCCATTCATTCCCCCCCATCAATGAAAATACCCAGGGAATGATCTGCTCTTCTACATACAGCTTTCAGTAAAAAGCAATGGGAAGACCAGAGTTGGTTTAGAAGCCTCACATTTCATAGTCTCTGCAAACGTGGGATTTGCTGTATTAAGTTAAAGTTTGTTGGTATTATGTGTTTGCTAATTATCAATAAATCTTGGAACTCTCAACATATATATCCTCTAAAAACTAGTAAACTTACCTTCCATTGCACAAAAGCCAACGACCAAATGAGACATGAGGAGATATTCGCTGCATGACAGTGGCCACCAGAAGGGTCACCACCATCTGCACCCCCATAACAGCCTACAAGGGACAAAAATAGAGATTTATTGAAATCACCAGAGCAGGAACATATACATTCTTTAATTTCAGTGAATGCTCTGCAGACTTTACTATAACTTAGTAAATCCCCGCATCCAGCATGAATACAAAGCCATGTATTCAATATACACATGCAAGGACAGGTTTCTCAGCCACAGCAATAGTTTTATATAAACTCTCAGTACTGGGGGCACAATTAACTTTTCACAATAAGGAAGAATACATGCCAAAAAATCTCAGACCCCCCTCTCACTCACCATGATGAATTCTAGAACACAGGTCAATGTACAAAAATAGTGAATTAAACGCCTTTAGCCATGTGTCACCCACAGAACAGCTGCAGGAAGTACAGCACACTATCCCTTTAAGGCAGTTAACGCTGGGTTTTGAGAGCTCGACCAATCAAAAAGCGGTGTGTGGTGAAATGACAGGCACTCGACCAATCGATTTCTAGGTCATATTCCGAGAAGGCGGTCCATTGTTATTTTTATTCCTAGAGTACATCCGGGTAGAGGGAGGTTAGGTGTAGAGCATGACGGGAGTTGTAGTTCCTGTAGGAATAGGCTGCCCTTTGGGAAAGCATTTTACATGTCAGGAAAGACATGTACAACTAGAAAAACTGCTGAGACCCGCACAGTCATTTAATTGGTTTAAACTAGTGGGACTCAGATCTAATCATTGTAAAACAAAACAGCATCATAGACTACATTCTGCAAATAGTTAACTAGTTAAACATGCACAGTTTAGTTAATACACCCATTAGTTTATCATTGTTATTGTGTAAAATGGAAATTATAGAGAATTCAAAGAAAAATTCCAACTTTTATGTCAAAATAGCTGAACTGAGAACAAGGGGAACAAACTGAGCTGAACTGAGAACAAAGCTTGGAGTTTTGGAGTTAGCATTCTGGTCCCCTATTTTATTTATTTTGACCAATATTTATTTTGGTAAAGATTGAGATTTTTACAAAATTCTAATAAGAAAGTACAAAAGACATTATACAACAAGCATGTCAGAAAGGGTGGGGTGTGGTGTTGGCCCCCACATTAACAGATTTGGTTAATCCTTTATTATAATGTCCCTCAGCTAACAAAGTCTCAAAAAGGCAAATGCATGTCAGATGCGTAGAGGAACAATGTATTGGCATAGGGTCTGAGCCACCAGCCAGGTAGGAAGAGAGAGAATAAGAGGATGGATTTGGGGAGCAAGAAGAGAGGTGGCGTGGGGGGAAGAGGGAGAAGAGAGAGATAGAGAAAACAATGGGTGTAAATAAGGGGGTGCCTGTGAGTAGCCTTCAGCAGTACCTTATGTACATCCCCAATCCCCATAATAAACTCTGCTACGAAGTATAATGGTAGGAGACCAGGGCCTCCACCATGTCAATCACCCCTATGCCATTGATTCAATCTGGGTCTCTGTGGCATGTGGAATAGGTTGGGAAGAAGCATATATCACCCATGATGTCCCATGATTTCTTAGTTGCACCTGTTTTCTTCATACTGACTTCCTGTTCATCCTGTTTCTTTTTCATATTATTTCCTAAACAGCAATCAGAAAACTACCAAAAGGTTCAGTCTTGCATGAACCGAATGATATTGATAGCAAAATATGTAACCAAACCAGGCATCCAAACATTCATTTTATTTACAGAGAGGTAAATCTTGGTTACTCATTTAGAATTTCCCATTGAAATTGATGAATGTTAGGTACCCAGGCTTGATGTCATATTTTGACATCAATATAATTTTGATCAGGCCAAATTATTTTTTTACTATACAGGATACCTAAATAGCAGAACATAAGCCAGATGTGGGTCAGTCAAGAGGGTTTTAATAGGGGAAATGCTTCATTACTGTGACAAAACTCCATCGAGGATGTAGGTTTACCAATGGAAACTGTTACAGAGACTGCAGGTCAAGACAGAGGCTTTAGTTACCCCAGCTGGCTTCTCCCCCAGGAAGGGATCAACCTTTCTGCCTGTGCCTCAATCTCCCAGGTGGGAATTGACCACTTTGCCTGGACTGCCTCGGTCTCCCAGACAGGTATCATCCCCTCTGCAAGTGTCTCCCAGACAAGTATCAACTCCTCTGCCTTCGTCTACCACAAATGTGCTACCACACAGTTACTGCCTTTACAAAGGCACCTATTGATCTCAGGCCTGGCACTTTCTTTAAATGCCCATAGGACTATGAAATAGTGCAGTCAGCACATAGGTCTGAAAACAGGACACAGAGTTCCCAATGGGACTACCACCCAACTTTTTATTTGCACTCAAGCCTAGCCCCTATCTGCATTACATTAAATTTATGGCAACACACTCAATTACATAAATAAAACATAATCATATCAGAAATCATACAGGCATCCATGTAACACAATACAATATTTATAAAGGGACTGGGAAGACAAACTACGAGAAGAAATACATCCTTTGCCGGCATAAACCCTAATATGCAAATCTATCTGAATATGCAAATTAACAAGCCTTTTTTATTCAGCTAATGCACATGACTGTTGCAACCAACAGGTGGCGCTGCTAAGGCCCCACAGCCAGACAAATTACATTACGATACATACATTTCACCTATAATGGCCACAGGGTGACATAAACATTATTATTATTATTATTATTTTATTATTTATATAGCTCCAGCAAATGCTGTAGCGCTGTACAATGGGTGGACTAACAGACACGTAACATATGAGTCATCCATGGACCTACATGAAGTGTCAGACATATAGTTCCAGTGATGTTGACTACTGTCACATTTACTTATTCAGAATTTCCCTATGAAATGCATGGATATTATGATGCTAGGTTGGGTGACATATTTTACAAGTAATATCATTTGGCCCAGACTGAACTTTACATATATAGGGATAGGCAGTTAGTTGAAAACAAGCTAAATCTGTGTGAGCCAGAATGGTTTTTATAGGTGAATGTTTTTTACTTATTTTGGGATGCATGTATGTTAGAGTGCTAGGAATGGTGAGAAATGTTATGATAATTATCACTTGGCTCAAGTCAAATTGAATTTAGAGGGGCGCCCAATTAGTAGATGTGAGAAACGTGCCTATGCTACGAGCTCCTGGAGGAGCCTGCTAGCTAGCCTCTTGCCCAAGGCCAGGGACGTATTAGACGCGAGGCAAACAAGGCATTTGCCTTGGGCGGCATATTCCAGGGGGCGGGGAAAAAAAGCCCCAAATGCTCAGGCAAATGTCTTGTTAGCCTGGCGGCTGACAATCCGGGCGGGCGGCGCTGGTGAGGGAGCACTTTCCCCTGAGCGCTCTGACGTCATATTCCAGCTCCCGGCATCACTCTGCGGCGCGCGAGGGAGCTGAGCAGAGAGCTCAGGGGACAGTGCTCCCTCGGCAGCGCCGCCCGCCCGACCAGCAGCCCAAGGGAAAGGGAGAACCCCCCCCCAGCATTCCCATAGGTAAGGAGGCTGGGGGGGATTGAATTTTTAATAGAAAAAGTGAGTGCATTAATGTGTGTGTGTCTATTAGTGAGTGAGTGTGTGTGTCTGTTAGTGTGTCTGTTAGTGTGTGAGTGTCTGTTAGTGTGTGAGTGTGTGTCTGTTGGTGTGTGTGAGTGTATGTCTGTTAGTGTGTGAGTCTGTTAGTGAGTGTATGTCAGGTAGTGTGTCTGTTAGGGAGTGTGTGTCTGTTAGTGAGAGTGTATGCGTGTCTGTTAGTGAATGTGTGTGTCTGCTAGTGACTGTATGTGTCTGTTAGTGAGTGTGTATGTCTGTTAGCTAATGAATGTGTGTCTGTCAGTGAATGTGTGTGTGTGCTTGCGTGTGTGTATTTAGAAGGCGGGGAAGGGGGAACAGGGGGGGGGGGCCTAGGGCAGCACAAAACCAGGATACACCATTGCCCAAGGCCATATACAAAGATCCTGTTTGGGAGTTAAACATCCCCAGCCGTCATTAGTAGCTCGCTTTTGTCAAAGTAACTGGAACGGTTTTGGGCATAATTACCACGTGTGCGGCCGGTCAGAACTTTAACACGGTGGCATTTCCCCTACAGTGCATGGAAGGGTAGCGCTATTTGGAGAACTTGGGTGCTCAGATCAGGGCTATTTAAAGATGTGGTGTTATTTTATATTTTAATGATGTTTTGGGGCATTTTTATGTATTAAATATTTATGTTTGCCTCTCTGTTCATGGGAGATAATTAGCTTACAAGTCTTTAACTTAATTATCTCCCAGGCCCAGAGATTTATGGGAGGGGCTTGCATTGTATTGTGTGGAAACCCCATGCTGGGGGTTGTGTATACAAGCAGGCAACTTGGCCGAGATAAACCAGTTCCTTTACACCCTTCACTCAGTCTGGGCTAGTGTTTTGGTGAATCAGCTATACTCTCTGAAGGATAGCTTAATCACTTGAAGACGTACCCAGTACCCTGTTCCAGGGTGGGAAGCGACAGGGAGACCCCAGCCAAGCTGCGGTAGCTAGGGGCCAGGGCCAGACTGGCCCACCGGGATACCGGGAAATTTCCCGGTGGGCCGCGGCACCTGGGGGGGCTGCATGTAGAGAGGGAGCCCTGCTCCACATATTTTAGTAATATTGCGGCCACCGCATGTCGGTGCCGCAGGGTGGCCAGTCCGGCGGCACACTCTGAGGTGATTACTCACCTTGCGGCCGGCGGCCCCATCTCCTGTGCTGACAGCTATGCTGCTGTCAGTATCAGTGAGTGTGCCGGGCGGCCGCCTAACCGGTCCAGCAGCACACTCACTGATACTGACAGCAGCATAGCTGTCAGCACAGGAGGACTGAGGGAGGGGACGGAGCTAACTACCATGCTCCCTTGTGGTTCCCATAATTCTCAGCATCTACACATCATAGAGTAATCACTACTCTATGATGTGTCCATGCTGGGAATTATGGGAACCGCGTGGGAGCATGGTAGTTAGCTCCGCCCCCTCCCTCAGTCCTCCTGTAACAAGGTCAGAAGGGACACAGAAGGGGAAGGTGGGGAGACAAAAAGAGGGGAAGGGGGAACAAATAGAAGGGAAGGGGGGGGACAAATAGAGGGGTATTAGAAACACAGGGGAAAGTGGGACACAGAGACCGAGGGGTAATAGAAAGACACCAGGTTGGGGATGACGACAAAGAGACAGAGGGGTAATAGAGAGACATAGGGCAAGGGGGGACACAGAGACAGATGGGGTAATAGAGAGACAGGGGATGGGGGGACAAAGAGAGGGGTAATAGAGAGACACCAGGGAAGGGGGAACAAAGAGACAGAGGGGTAATAGAGAGACACAGTGGATGTGGGTACAAAGAGACAGAGAGGGAAGAGAGAGACACAGGGAGGAGATGGGGAAGAGAGACCCAGGGAGGAGATGGGGAAGAGAGACACACAGAAGGTTTGTTGGGGGGACAAAGAGACATACAGTAGGGAAGG